CCATACAATTACTCGATGGTTTGTACGTTACCATTTTCTCAGTGCTCGTAAGGCTGCTCTCCGTGGTGCATTCGATGGAGGTGTCAGTAATGAAGGATGTGGAGGCGGGTGGTGGCTTCAGATTGGTGTAGTAGGTAGTAGTTCCAGTGTGCAGGTTGATTTCCCCCCTCCTCATCCTCTTCCTCTTCCTCCTCTTCCTCTTCTTCTTCTAGCTTGCAACGCTTCCATTGGCGCGATGTGGCCGAGGAGGCGATGAGCTTGCCTCCAGGAAACACGGAGACCTGCTGTGCACTTGCCGCCTGCGCTGCTTTGACGAGGGCTGCTGCTAAGATGGCGTGCGCTCTTCTGCAACCCATCTAAGGTGGTGTGTGCTCAGTTGCACTGTCCCGCCGATTCGGATTCGGATTCTCGTGGCGGACCGTAAACCGTAAAAAACCGAGGTTGACTGTTTACCGCCGGCTCCCATTGGTTTTCTGATTCGAGATCTAGTTGCAGACCGAGTTCAGGCATCTAGATTAACTTGCGCTTTTGCCTTCCCGTTGCTGCGCCGAACAGCTCCGGGGCTCATCTGGAGCTAGAGTTGCATTCAGGACATCGTCCTCATTTCTTGAAAACTTTTGCAGAGTACGTATGGTTTGTTGGTGGAGCTGGTAGCAGACACAGTTCGGGCATCTAGATACTTGAGACTAGCGCTCCTCTGGATTACCTTTCGAGTGCTGCGCCGATCAGCTCTGTAGCTCATCTGCAGCTCGGAATAGAAAGAGAATAAACACCACCTTGTAAAATATAGAAGAACCCCAGTCGATGTTTGGTTCCAGATCTGGTATCATACCGAGTTCAGGCATGTAGATCCTTATATCTAGCGCTTTTGATGATTACCTTCCGATTGCTGGGCCGAGGAGCTCGGGAGCTCATCTGCAGCTTAAGTTGCATTCAGGAAATAATCCTCACCTTTTGAAACATTAGCAGAGTACGAATATACTGTTCGCCCTAGTTCTGGTAGCAGACCCAGTTCGGACATGTAGATACTTGAGACTAGCGCCCCTCGCACGCTTCGTGGCCCCATAGGAGCTCCGCCGAAGGTCCCAGTCGCACAGTTTGCATGCGTTCCCGCCACTCATTTCGGCACACCCCTTACACGTTTCGTGGCCCCATAGGAGCTCCGCCGAGGGTCCCAGTGGCACAGTCCGCATGCGTCCCCGCCACCCATGTCGTCACGCCCCTCACACGTTTCGTGGCCCATAGGGAACTCCACCGAAGGTCTCCGTGGCGCAGTCCGCATGCGTCTCCCTCACCCAGTACAGCGTTTCGTGGCCCCATATGGAGCCCCACCGAAGGTCCCCGTGGCGCAGTCCGCATTGTGTTGTTCGTTTGCGTTCGCGTTGTGTACCACGCCACTCATTTTGGCACACCCCTAGCACGGTTCGTTGCCTCATAGGGATCACCACCGAAAGCGTCAATCACAATGGCGGTACTCACACCTGCATATCATTGGGTCCTTCGTCAGGTTTTTTTTTGTTCTCTCTCTCTCTCTTTTTTTCCTTGTTCTCTCTCTCTCTCTCTCTCTCTCTCTTTCTCTCTTCAAAGTCGTATCAACCCGATCGACCTGAGATCGATATAGCGGGCGGGAATAGTATCCTAGTTGTTCGGAATAATTATTAGAGCTCTAACGAATGTGCATGTTTTAAGGGCATCTATTTCAACATTGTTGGGGCGTAAGGCGCGAAAGGTTAGTCCGTGTCCCCCTTCTTGGGCCCCTCTTGGGGCATTCTTGGGCCAGTTTGGGCCGTCTTGGGGCTTTTCGGGCCGTCTTGCAGCGATCTTTGGGGCGTCTTGGCACGTCTGGGAACATTGGAAGACCGAAACGGCGAAAACGCTACAATTTTTATTATTGTGAAGGCCTTGCGGCCGGTGCCGCCGACCCTGACAGCGGGGCCTCCCTGGGACCCAGGCTGGCGCCCCAGGAGAACGAACAATGACATGAAAATAAAACTCAGAGGTCCGCGGATCTCCCTACGACCTCCTCCAAGACCCGTCTGGACCCTGGTTGGAGGGGCGGGATTGTGAGATGGGGCTGGCCTTCCTCAGCGCTGGCGGGACCTCCCTGGGACCCCCTTCCAGCACCCCCCCCCCGCAGGGGGGACCTCCCACAGTCCTCCATGTCCGCAGGGGTGACCGAGGTGGGGAGGGTGGCCGCTGGGACCCTGGGTGATGGTGGTAATCGGACCTGGGGCCCCCCTCCTTGCTCCCTCGTGGTGCCCCGCCCCTCCCCCGTCCCCCCCTCCGTGAGGGAGGGGAAAAGACGAGGGAACCGACGAAACTACGACGTTTCTTTCCTCTGTTCGTTCTTGAATTGCCATGGGACTGGCGACGAAAACCGAAACGGCGAGAACGCCACAGTATTTCAGAACAAAGGAAAATCAATGTTTATTGCCTGTTGGGGCTTCCTTCGGAGTGCTCTTGGAGACCTCTTGGGGCGTCTTGGAGGCCTTTGGCCCGTCTGGAGGCTATATGGAGCTTCTTGTGCCTATCGTTTGGCGATTCGAAGCCCCCCTTTACCGTCTGAAAGGCCTCTTGGGGCCCTCTTGGCTTGTCTTTTTGGGTTCTCTCGGCCCCGAACAAGTCACGCGGCAAGACGCGACGCGCCTCAGGAGAGCCGCGACAAACCCCGGGAACGCCGCGCCACGCCCCGTTCGGGAGCCTTGAGACGGGGGTCAGTGCAAACGGGGGTCAGCCACGGCACCGGGTCCTGCAGTATCCTGCGAAGACCCTCTCTAGCTGACCCAGGTTAGCGAACCGCTCATGGCCGCGAGGCGGCCGCACATATTGGCTGGCCCGGGTTTGCGAAGACCTGCGTTGCAGTTTTTTTTCCTGCATTGCAGTTTTTGGTTTCCTCCTGACCCGGGTCTGGATTGAACCGGGTCAAAAGATCCCCGACCCGTGAGATTTGAAACATTTTTGTCCAGGTCTTTTGAATAACCTCAGGAGAGAGAAGCGAGGATTCCAACATACTTGATGACACTCCAATTCGTGCCTCGCAGGCACTGTGGCGGATTCAGGACACGTACACAGCTCCTCGACATAGTGACGAGCAGAGTCGAATGTTCATGAGCATCGGTCTGCATCCGCGCGGGCGGCGGCATCCGTGTTCTGTTTTCTTAAACACCTTGTCTGATACTCTGAAGAACTCAGTTGCGTTTCGGTTGCTTTTCGGCATGGTGTCGAGATCTTCGCCAGCTCTTGAGCTCTACAAGAGGCCCGCGCAGTTGCAATCGCAACCAGCATCTGCGCGAACACCCTGTCGCATCCTTGCATAATTATGGCCAGAGCTAGCCGCGCATGTCATTCGTAGATCCCCCGCTGTTGCGCAGTGTTCGCATGGCATCAGCAAGTGGTTCATTATTCGTGCACTGCTGCCATGGTCTGGGAACCAGTTGTGCTTTTTAATGTTGTTCTTTACGGTGCGATATTTCGATGCGTGCATTTTAGCGATTGCGCTTGAACTCCTGCCGTCTGTTCATCTGTTCAGTTGAATTTTCAGTGGCGCAGTTGTTCAATGTAGCCGGCATGTTTTGCTTTTGGCGCATTGCTTGCATGATGGGCCAACGGATACGCAGGCTCATGGTGCGAATGTGCACGCAATGAGCTTGCAAAAGGGCATCTTCACACATCATCGGATACAGCAGTGCCCTATGGCCCGCACGATGAGATGATGAACACAGTGGCTTGGCGTATCTATAACCATCTCAGGGCTGTCAGCCATCCTTGCGTTGTGTGGTGGGAGTGTGCGGGGATGAAGATGGTGGTGGGAGGGAATGGGCGATGGCAATGGGGAAAAGGGATACTGCCTACATGATGATTATATGATGCTGCTGCTGATCATGATGGTGGTGCTGATGATGATTATGATGATGAGATGATGATGATGATGATGATGATGATGATGATGATGATGATGATGCTGATGATGATGATGATGATGATGATGGTGATGATGATGACGACGACGACGACGACGACGCTGACGATGATGATGATGATGATGATGATGATGATGATGATGATGATGATGATGAAGATTATGATGATGATGTTGATGATGATGTTGATGATTTTGATGCTGATTAAGAGGAAGAGGAGGAAGAGGAGGAATAGGAGGAAGAGGAGGATGATGATGAGGAGGATGAGGAAGAGAGGGATACAGAAACATGAAGGTCATATTGGCGTGTGTTGTCTGGAAGCGCGGTGAAGCAGAGCAATGTCGAATCTTTTCTCTTTTGGCTGCAAGGTGGGGGAGTGCCCTCGGCCCACTCGCATGGTGACCTGGCGGATGCAGCCTGGGTCGGTTGTCGTGTGCGATGCTGGGCCCGCCGCGCCGACGCTGAGCATCGTGGCTTCCAGCTCTGGGCAGGACTTGGTGATTATGAGGGATGCGGGCAAAGGAGGGAGGGGTACGTAAGGAAAAGGAGAAGGGAGGAGGGCAGATACCCGGGGCTACTTGCATTTGCCGTCACGATCTGCCGCGATGGGTCGCCGTTCTTGTGGCATATTTGCATGTCTGATTCCCCACTCAGGCTCCGCCACGAAGGTTCCCACTTTATCTGTGCGAAGTGCGGGTAATCCTCTTAGTTCCTCGTGGACCCTGCTCCTCGGCTCCCGATGATTGGCCGTTTGCCTTTAACTGGCTGTAGCCCCGTTCTCAGCTTGCTTTTCGATCGCCATTGGCTCGTAGTCGAGTGTTTTTAAGGTGCATGGAGCTTTTCCCAAAGTTGTTTTGACTTGGCCTTGAACTTGTTTTTGATGGCTTGTAGCTTGATCTCAACTTGTTTTTGTCCACAGCTTGGTTCTAGCTTGCCAGGGTCAGCCTGCCCCAACAGACGTAATTGTCCTGGTGTTGCTAGCCAGTATGCTTCTCTACCTGTGCTCGAGTTCGCTCTATGCGATCTTCCGCCTTACATCACAACTTGTCTTCATCCCTCGATGCTGTGATTGTCTGAGAGGATGGCTGCTGCAGCCTGGAGTGCGGTCGGAAGATACGCCTCGAGAACATCCGGGCTGCTGAGGGAGAGGCGATCATCGCCGCATCGTTGTGTGTGTGTGTGTGTGTGTGTGTGTGCGCGTGCCTCGCGCGCGCGTGCGTGCGTGCGTGTGTGTGTGTGTGTGTGCGTGTGTGCGTGTGTGCGTGCGTGCGTGCTTGCGTGCTTGCGTGCGTGCGTGCGTGCGTGCGTGTGTTCGTGCAGACACTGTTGATCATGACATTTGTCGGCATTTAGGACGGTGCTGGGGTTCAATTCAAAATCGGTTCGGATCTCGCTTTCTGGAGTTGTCGATGTCCTGGCATTGTGATGCGGTCTCCCGAGGATCCAAGGAATCCCGGACGGTTAACGAGAGGTCTAGAAGCTGGCTTCTCCAGCAGGGGCGACATGTCTATGCAGCAGCAGCCGCAGCAGCAGTAGATCAACAGCTCCAGAATTTCGGAGCGTTTGCAATATTGGCAGTCCGCATTTCCACTTTTTTGCAGATGTTTCGTCAACTAATAAACATCGTGGCCATGCTCTGCTCATAAGTGGTTCCAGGGCACATCCAATACGCCTTCCTTGGGCCCATCCGTCCGATGATGATTCGTGGCCATACGGCCAGCGGCACAGCTTTGTCCGATATCGATTGCGTTCGAGGGCGTCTTTGACGAATTCTTGATGAAACCGCGCGAAACACTGTTGTCTGGTTTTTCTCCCGTGGCGTGGAATTGCGGTGCCCCCACATCCTCTCTGCAGTCAATGATGAACCGCCCTGGAGATTTTTTTTGAACGATCCAACGGACCTCGCACGTTTTAGGACAGGGTGTTTGTTCAACCTCAGTTTGTTGTCATGCGCAGGATACGTAGATTTGGAAGCTTCTGGTGGTCTGCCTGTTCACAGTCCCTTCTCTGAGAGGATGGTTCAGCTTACTCATGTCAGCGAACAGCAGGGACGGAAGACCTCGCCTGCGTGCCTCAGATGCCTGCGCCCAAAGGCTCGGGGTATCTTGGGTTCCTGTGGTATCTGCCGTGCCCGGAGTGCCGTCGGTGCGTTGTGGGCTGACGCGATGAGTCTGGTAGTGCGCGCCTCAGGCGGTCGAGTACTTCAGCTCGTCTCTGCAGAAGTGGATCCCAGGGCGTGTGCTGCGGGCTGGGCGGGTGCCAGGCACCTTGGACCTGGACTGCAAGGACCGGCCTTTCTCGGGAGCAAGGGCCAGAAGAGGAGAACGCCAACGCATGGTCGTTCTGCGGCTGCACGTGTTTCAGTTTTCTTTTCTATCATAGGGCATCATGAAGGATTACGTTCAGCAATTTCACAGCTCTGCGCGCAGTCTGTGTCTCTTGCGAGATCCCTGAACGGTGACTGCAGTGGCTTTCTTCACGCTCCTGTTTCGTTCCGCCCAGAACGTGATCTGGTCGCTGGACTGTGGTTTTATGCCAAGGCATGCCGCCTTGTCCAGGTGCCGTGTCGTCCAAACATGTTCTGGCCGCCCGAAGGTGGTGCCGTGCCAATCCGTTCCGTGTGGTGGGGGCGTGTGATGATGCCCGTTTTCCCCCACACGTGATCGGGTTGCTTGAAGGTGGTGGTGTTGTGCCATGCAATGTTATGATGCCTTGATTCTTCCAAGACGTGATTTGCCTGCTTATCAGTAGTGCCGTGTCATTCCGTGGTGCCATAACACCCACGATGTGATTCGTTTGCCCGAATATGGTACCGTGCCGTACTGTTCAAAGCATGGTGCAGTTCCGCCCGTGCCGTGTAGTAGTTTCGGCCAAAGCAGGATGTGATTGCCGATGGTGAGACCTTGCCGTTCAGTGGTGCCCAGCCGCCTGCAATGTGGTATGGCAGACAATGAAGCCGTGCCATTCCGTGTCGTGCCGCTGTTCTGAGCAATGTATCCAGTGGTTGCCCGACAGTTGTGCTGCGTGTTGTGCCGCGGTGCTGCGCCGTCCCGTGACTGGAACGCCCCAATATGGTGCTGTGCCTTGCCGTGCTCCTCTCTGGTTCGTGCCAGGTCCTGAGATACCCAGTTCTTGATGTGGTCGTTCGGAGGTGGTCCATGCCGTGTCGTGCGGTGCCTTGGTGCTGTGCCATCGTGCCATGTGTCATTGTGTTTTATTCCGACCCTTTCAGCTATGAGTGCGATCTTCGGGCGGTCCTGCCTGGGCGCAGTCCCGATCTAGTCGATCTCACCGCGAGTCCCGCCCCGTCCAGGATACGGTCCTGTAGGAATGATGTGCTCCCGTCCCGCCCGTCCCACCCCAGCGCGCCCAGGAGAGTGCCGAGCTGGCGCGGGTGCGCTTGCCGTGGCCGCCGGCTGGTTCCGGGGGTGTCGAAATCAGCAGGGGTCACAGTCAGGATTCGGCATTCTCTTTCTGGCTTCTCTGTCCTCCCTGTCGAAGGGGGCCGGCAGGAGGAGCAGGGTAAGCAGGAGGAGGGTGATGAGCAGGGGGCGCATGAGGTCCAGGGTTATGAGGCGGGTCGGAACAGGGATATTGATGATGATTATGATGATTATGATGATGATAATGGTGGTGATGGTGATGGTTGATGACGACGACGACCACGACGGCGACGTCGACGACGACGACCACGACGATGATGATGCTGATGATGATGACCTGATGATGATGATGATCACGACGATGACGATGACCATGATGCTGATGAGGATGATGATGACGCTGATGATGATGATGATGATGATGATGATGATGATGATGATGTCATGATCACGACGACGTCGACGACGACGTCGTCGACGACGACGTCGATGATGATGATGATGACGACGACGAACACGTCGACGATGACGACGACGATGACGACGATGATGATGATGATGGTGGTGGCCACGACGTCGACGACAAAGATGACGATGATGATGATGATGATGATGATGATGATGATGATCACGGCGACGACGCTGAGGATGAGGATGTTGATGATGATGATGATGATGATGATGATGATGATGGTGATGATGATGATGATGATGATGATGATGATGATGGTGACCATGACGACGACCACGACGTCGGCGACGACGATGCTGATGACGATGATATGGACGATGCTCACGACGACGACGTCGACGTCGACGACGATAATGCTGATGATGATGATACGGCGACGACGACGATATCGACGACGACGATGATGATGACGATGCTGATGATGATGCTGATGATGGCGATGATGATGATGATGATGTTGGTGATGATGTTTACGCTGATGCTGATGATGATACTGCTTATGATGATGATGATGATGATGATGATGATAACGACGACGACGACGACGACTTCGTCGACGACGATGACGACGACAATGATGACGAGGATGATGATGATCACAATGACGACGACGTCGAGGGCGACGACGGTCATGATGATTATGATGATGATGATGATGATGATGATGATGATGATGATGATGATGATGATGATGATGATGATCATGATGATCACGACGACGACGACGAGGACGACGACCACGGGGACGACGATGACTTCGACGACTACGATGACGATGATGATGATGATGATGATGATGATGATGATGATGATGAGGATGATGATGATGATGATGATGATGATGATGGTGACCACGACGACGACGACGATGTCGACGACGACGACGTCCACGGCGACGACGACCACGAGCTTACGACGACGACGATGATGATGATGATGCTGATCATAATAATGATAATGATGATGACGACGACAATGATGATGATGATGATGATGATGATGATGATGATGATGATGATGATGATGATGATGATGATGATGATGATCACGACGACGACGACGCGTGCCTCAGCGTGCGTTTCTATTTTCCCATCCCTCTCTGTCCGTTCTCTTTTCTTTTCCCCTCTCTCTCTCTCTCCTGCTCTTGGTTCTCCTCCGTCCCCATTTTACACGCTTCTCTCCCCGCTGCGTCATTTTCTCTCCTCTCTCTTCCTCGTCTCTCCTTCACGCCTTCCTCTCTCCGCCTCCCTCATGCGTTTCCGCCTCCCATCTTCCTCATCCTCATCTCTCCTTTACGCTTTTCTCTTTCCGCCGACCTCACCGAGCATCCTGCCCCACTGAGTGCTAGGAAGCCCAGCTAGAAACAAAATTAGCCTGACGAAGGACCCAACCATATGCGGTTGCGAGTACCGCATTGTGGGTACCGGTTTCGGTGGAATTCCCTGTGGGGCCACGAAACGCATGTGGCCTGTGCCACTGGTGCCTTCGGTGGAGCTGCCAATGGGGCCACGAAACGCTGTCCTGGGTGGCGTTGACGCATGCGGCCTGTGCCACTGGAGCCTTCGGTGGAGCTCCTCATGTGGCCACGAAACGCTGTCCTGGGTGGCGTTGACGCATGCGGCCTGTGCCACTGGAGCCTTCGGTGGAGCTCCCTGTGGGGCCACGAAGCGCTGTCCTGGGTGGCGTGGATGCATGCGGCCTGTGCCACTGGAGCCTTCGGTGGAGCTCCCTGTGGGGCCACGAAGCGCTGTCCTGGGTGGCGTGGATGCATGCGGTCTGTGCCACTGGAGCCTTCGGTGGAGCTCCCTATGGGGCCACGAAGCGCTGTCCTGGGTGGCGTGGATGCATGCGACCTGTGCCACTGGAGCCCTCGGTGGAGCTCCGTATGGGCCGTCTTGGGCCTCTTGGGCGATCTTTGGGGGCACTTGCGCCGTCTCGGTCCGTCGGAAGGCCGAACATAAAGCAAATGCCAGAATCCTTCAAAAACTCATGGGAAAGCTATGATTTTGGCCTTTTCGGGCCTTCCTGTAGGCCCTCTTGGAGGCCTCTTGGGCCGTCTTGGGCCATCTTAGGGCCATCTTCGGCCGTCTTGGTGGGCCCCTGGCCCGTCCGACGCCGTCGGAAGTCGTTTGGGGGGCCTCTCTGGGCCGACTTGGGGCCCTCTTGGAATGCTCCAGGGCCATCTTGGGCGTCTTAAAAGCCTCCTGGGCCGTCTTGGGGCTCTCAGGGCCTCTTGGGGGTCTCTTGGGTCGTTCTGGGGCCATCTTGGAGGCCTCTTGGGCGATCTTTGGGTGATCTTTGGGGGCTCTTGGGCCGTATCGGGCCGTCGGAAGGCCGAAAATAAGCAAATGACAAAATTCTTTACACAACTTAGGGAATAGGAGTGCTTGCACGTGATTGTCTGGGCCGTTCCATGGCTTTTGATCTTTCTCAAGTGCATGAGCGGGGCTGGGCCATGGCCCCGGGCGGCGCCGCCACGCTCGCGGTGAGTGCCGCGGTGGGGGCGCCGGCTGCCTGGGCCGGGCTGCGCTGGGCGACGAGCTGGCTGGCGGCGCTGGTGGCCGCCTCGACCAGCTGCCCGTTCTGCGTGTGCCACGCGCCGCAGTGGCCCCCGCCCGCGCCGCCGGCGCCGCCGCCACCTCCGGCGCCGAGCGCCGGCGCGGTGGCCGCGGCCGTGGCGCAGGAGCTCGGGCCCTGGCTGGTGGCGAACTCCTCGCCTGCGCCGGCCACCTGCCCCTCGGCCGCCGAGGTGGCCGCGGCGCTGCTGGAGCGGCTGCCGCCCCTGGGGCCTGGAGAGGCCCGGGCGGCGCCGTCCGCGCCCGAGGCCGGCCCAGCCTTGGGCGTAGGTCGCCTCTTCGCCTTCATCCTGGCGGGGGGGATCGCTTGCGGGGAGGGGGTGATCTTGGTGTGCTGCTGCGCGGTGACCCGAGCCCGTCGCGATGATCGCCCCGCTCCCCCGCCGCCGCCGCGGCCCGACGACCCTGGCCGCGCACGGCACACTCGTCGAGGTGGGGGCGTGGTGCAGTGAGCTCCGGCCAGGACGCCGGGTCGGGCTCTGGTGCCCGCGCGACACGGTGTGGCACGAGCGGGTGCTGCTCTACCCCGCGGGGGGCACGTATTGGTGGGTGCTGACGCCAGATGCCGATCGGTACGCCGAGGACGTGTCGGGCTCCGTCGGCGACGGCTGCAACAGGGCCTTCGCCGTCGCGCTGGACGGCACGGCGCCCGCCTTGGCCCACGGCGCCCTCTACCGGTTCGCGCAGCCGCTGGTCCTGGGAAGAGCTGCGCGGCGCGGTGCTCAGGTCGAGGACCGATCAACGGGAGCACGTCGGTGACGAGCCGCTGGTTGACCCCGCGGAGGTCTACATCTGGGAGGGGGGGTCCCTCGCCCGTTCGGGCTCCTACGACGCCGCCTTCCGCTGCGGGGGGCCAGGGGCGCTGTCGGGGGGACCGACGCCCCTCCTGGTGGCGCTTCGCCCTCGGCGGGCGCTGATGAGGCAGTCGTTCCCGCTCCACCAGCGCTGGAGCCGCCTGAGGGATGCTGCTGGCTGGTCAACTTGCCCGGCCCCCTTCGCTTGTGAGTCGAGGTGGTGCTGGAGGCTGGCGGCGTCTGGCTGGACGACGACCACGCGATGGCGAGAGAGGCTGGCACCTGGCAGCTCGTGGAGGCGATCCCCGTCGGCGCGGTGGACTCCTTCAGGGACAGGCGCCCGAGGGAGCTGCTCGGGCTGGTCGAGAGGGGCCTGCCCGCCGACGCCCGCGCCAGGGGGCCGCCGCAGCCGCCGCCGGCCTTGCCGCCTGGTGGCGAGGCAGATCCCGCGCGCGGAGCTGCCGAGGCCGCCGGCCCCAGCGCTGACGACCAGGACCTGAGAGACAGGCTGGGGGTGCCCCCCCGGAGGGGGCGCGCGATGCGGACTCGGTCGACGACGTGAGGACGCTGTGGCTTCAGCACGACGAGCAATGGGACCGCCTCAAGCCGCGGGGCGAGGTCGTCCGCGAGATCAAGAAGTACACGTTCAAGGACTGGCCGCTCGAGGACGGCCTCAGCACGGTGGAGCACATGGTGAAGCGCTGGGAGCAGAACGGCGGCCCCCCCCTGCTCTGGTTGGACCTCTGGGCGCGGGGCCAGCAGCTGAGCCAGACGGGCCGCAGCTACATCGAGATGAAATGCCTGCTCACGGTAATCTTCTACGCGGGAAACTACGACCAGGCCAACTTGCCCAGCATGGCCAGCATTGAGGTGTTGCGCCGTCGGGTGTCGCAGATCGTCGAGGCCAACTCGGGTGATCCCAACGAGCCCGAAGTGGGGCGGGCTGCGGCACTACATGGGCGTGGCAGGCCCGATGGACGTGATCGACCCAGCCTTGAGGACCGCAGTCTTTCGCCGCAACAAGGGGGAGATGGAGCTGGAGAGCTGGCAGAGCCGGGCTGCCGGGCTCCCTGTGCCCGGCCCTCTGGCGCTGGAGGCCGGCGATGGGGCTCCCGAGCGGGCCCTCCGGCGGCGCCGACGGGCGCGGGCGGGGCCGCGGCGACGGCCGAGGCCGCGGCGCCGACGGGCGCGGTC